GTTGACGTTGGCGTTTGAGTTCGTGCCACATTTGTTCCTCACATGGCCACTTGCTGTTCTCACTGCCTACTTCCAGGCTGGTTCTCAATGTCGCCTGAACGTACACGTACGTGTATGCTTGTGTAGGTAATTTAATAACGCCTGTAAGGCGCTGCTTGTCAAGAATGCGGCTTTTGTAGTTGGTATTAGAAATTTACACAAGAGCCACAAACGAAAATATCTTCGTGCTTTCTTCATTGAACCAGCTAACTGGCAGATTTAGGTCTCGGAACTTCGCAAAGCCGCACAAAAATGTTGCTAATTTCTGGCTTAAGGGCTCAGTTTTTACTTTTGAAATTTTAATGCAGCTTGAACTTGGCTTTTTGTTCGGTTCAAAAGCCACAGAGCCGGGAAATTTCTTCCTTAACTTCAGCCTCCATTCTAACAAGCTATAATCAACGTTGTCCTTGCAACATGAAGTGTTTGCCCTTTTGTGTTTGAGTGTGTTTTTTGTGGCATTTCATGGGGTAAAAAACCAAATCACATGCAAATACTTTGTGTACAAGTGAAAGCCGCAACAATGGAAACCATGTTACTCTCATTTCTTCCCATATGACTTGTCTCTTGTCTGGCCTATGACTAAGTGAACACAAAGGAGTGCGAACGAGCACACCCGCATTATGTGCGTGCGAATGGAGTGGGCTGGATTTGCGTTCACGCCTCTATACGTACGTGCATAGCTGACTATATACATTTTTATCAATTTAGTCTCAAAGCATGCCTTACACGTGGACACAAATTGAAAATTTTATACGAGCTACACCGGAAATTGAATGCTTAAGTGCGTGAGACAAAATACGTTTAACCTGAAACATTTTTATGCAGCGTTCCGCTTAATTATGAAAGCAATAAACAAAACTGCCACAACCATAGTGCTGAAGAGACTAACAAAGATTTTGTGGTAATATACATAAACCTATTAGTCTTGTGCTTTTAAAAAAAAAGTTAGAAAATGTTTATTCAATCTGTCCTCCAATAAAAATAAAAATATGTTTATATATACATTTGATTAATAATGAATTTCCGGATAATAAGCATTTTGTGTTAAATGCGAGTAATGTAGCTTTCTACATTGTTACACTTTTTATTTAATTATTGTATTAAATATATTTTAGCTTCATTTGTGTTACAAAGTTTTTGTAATCACACACCAAAATAATTTATTAATTTTTGATAAAGAGCTTTCATATAGCTCGACATTCTACAAGAAAAATATAGTACAATATCAACCGAATCTTCTTTGAAGTATTTCCTCACTCGAGCATCACCTTCTTATTTTCGTCAGCGTCGAAGGTTTGTCTGTAATAACATAATGTAATGCTGATCTACAAATGCGGCTTTATAGTACTATAAAGCTAGGAACTTGCTCTAACCGAATTTGGTCAAGAAGTTTCTATCGACACACAAGCCTTAGAAGAGTCTAGATGTTGTTGCCTTTTTAACTCGACACACGGCAGCTTTTATCTCTTCTTTTGTTGTTCTCGACAAATCAAAGACTGTCGGTCGGAGCCATAGTCACAAAAAAATAAATTTTATAACGTTGTTCAACGCAATGATATATAATACAACTTGTGGTCTACCATTTTTCCTTTCAAAAACTATACACTTTTCATTTAGGCGTACAATAATAATACATAATTCAATACATTTATCATTTAATAGTTCATCTTATACTTTTTTTTAAAAAAAGGATGCTACTCCTATTATTTTTTCACGTCCTAACCTCATGGAATGATGACATAATTGCTATAATGACAAAAAAATTGCCATTTGATATTCATTTTCGATTTAAAGATTACAGTTCTATTGTCATTTTCGTGCCCTTAGCTTTGCTTTTAGGCGCCTTTTCACATCGACATGTGTGCCTTTTTGGTGCTGCTTGAAATGACAATGCGAATGGCATTACCCTAAACTATGGCCCATGAATCCGTGAAGTAAACATTATAGTGAATGTTATTTTTGGTTTATGTTCCAAATTTAGCAGCTACATTCATGTTTGCATGTCGTTGTAGGCAACGCACATTCACTTTTGCGGAAACACTTTAAGGGCACACATTATCCTCGGACTAGTTGCCTTGGGCATGGGTATATTTGAGCTTGATGTGAGCTTATTTTAGCTTCCAATGTATCTATACCATCTGCAGGTCTTTTGTCAAAACTAACAGAGTGAACATGACACCGGCTGCCTTCTCGACATGGCTTATGGCTTAATGAAGCGACCCAAATGAATGTCAACATGGATCCAGGCAGATAGCCCCTTGGCTGACAAATGCGCTGCCAATGCTGGTAATAGTTTTTCACACGTGCGCTGCCAGCGGGCTCATCATGTTGGCCATCCATCGCTTTGCGTCGGTCAATACTCCGTTTTTTTTTGGGTTTTTTCTTTTTCATGGGGTTTTGCGATGTACTCGTAGATGCGGGGCTTGATGGTTGGATCGTGCTGCATCGTCAGCTAGACATCAAGTTGACTTTGGTCGTTGTGCAAACTGATGAGCATTATTCCGAGCCATCGATTATTTGACTGGTCTTGTGCGTTTTGTGGGCATCTTTTTCTCCCTCTTTTTACTTTTTTGTTGGACCGACAATTTGTACGTGAGCTGGCAAAAGAGACTGCAAATTTAAGATAATAAAGTTTGCTGGCACTCATTTAAATTTAAAAGCTACATAAATTCCTTCACATATTCTCGTCGTGTTGCTAACAAGAAGGCCACATGTATCAGCAATAAAGCCAAAATGAAAATGAAAAGCAACTACAACAACGAAAAAACGAGTGTAAAAAGCAAGAAGCTCAAAGATATTGCTCGTTGCTTTTCGGCTTAGTTTTGGGTGCGCTGCTGTTGTCCTGGCGCATTACAAGCTCCCTTAATCCACTGTAATACGTGAATATAATCCTTTATATGTAAACATCAGCAAATAAACAAAAGTCATCGCACACACATACACACATATGAGTCCATGGATGTGTTGAAGCGTATTTCGGCTTGTCTTTTTTTGGAAAATATTACACGGCATTATGTATTTTTTACGCTTGTTTGCAAACTTACAATAAATTGTATTGTGTGTCGTGGGAACAAAGCATTTTCCCTTGTCTTAAATATGCTGATTGTAATACGCGGCGTATGCGTAATTATTTTATTATACGACCCCAAAAGTATGCCACACAATATACACAATAAGCTACTTCAAGTATGGTTTAAAGTTGTATGTGTGTGTTTGTATTTGTGTGTATGTGTGTGGGTGCATGTGTCCGTGTATGCGAATGCAAAGCAGGTGGCTCCTAACTTTACCGAAATTTGTCAGTTTAAATGAAAATAAATGCTTTCTTTGAAAACTCCATTAAGTCGCATTTCATTTAAGGTGGAGTGTGGAGTTTGGACCTTTAGCTCAGCTCTCTCTTTCTGTGACTTCCCTTAATCCTAAGCAACAACAGTAAGTCAAATTTAATTTCCGCTTTATTTGAATTATGTTTCAATTATCTTTCGGGCTGCTAGTCTAACCAGATTCCATTTATGCCTACACCAGAATTGAGTAGACAATTTTTACATGTAAAACATAAATAAATTAAATAGCTCTTTTAAATGAAACATAATTTAGTGAAGAGCTCAACTTACCGATTTTTTTATTTTTATTTTATTTGTCATATTTATTTATTTATTTCATCGGTAAGCAATGCAGTCGATGTAAAAGAAAAAAGCAATCAATACAATAGAGAACTTAAACTAAATAAAACTAAAGAAATAAAATACTCGCAGCAGAGAGCTCGCTTGAGACTAAAAAGTAAAAAGTATTATAATTAGAGCATAATACTCGAAAAGAATTGTGCATGGCGGAATCACTAGTGCATCTGTTACGTAGAAGAGGCAGAAAGTTCCTTGTTGGCCTGGAAGGAACAGAAAAATGGAAACGACCTAAAAGCATAGAGGAATCAACATCTCCGACAATTCATTTGTGGAAGAACAGAACACCAAGAACTAGCTAAAAGAGGCAGGTTAATAAGCAGAAGTATCTTTAAACTAATATAACGGTTAGTTATAGTTTTACAAAGAAATTATTAAGTATCAAAATGTGTCCTCTATTCAAACTAATCTAAATAAACTAATCTTAAATAAGTCCTTTCAGTCCTTTGGATCTCGGGTTGAGGCGATAGTTTGGCGTTAATTACATTATGTTCTACTCGAATTGCTTATTCACTTCAAAATAAAGCTAATACATGACAATACACTTCTAATTAATGTTTTACATAAACAATGACCCCATAGAAACTTATCATATGTAACAAGTGCGTCATGAAAAATCAAACCAAATAGGGATTTGTGTTGTAGACAACGTTCGCCTTGTTTGGAAATGTATTTCATTTAAATTGATCTCACGTTAAACATAATGGTTTTCACATATGCGTACAAATTAAAAGAAATGTAATATCCAATATAAGTATTATGAAAGGTTACCTAGATTTTACTTTACAATAACGTTAAGTCGATTATATATAGCTGACTAGTAGCACTACTATTATAATTGTTGCTATTCGAAATGTTTGTGCTGCGAATTTTCACGCTTTATCCAGAGGTCTTTCCCAGATGTTACAAAATATCTGCATCATCAAAGCTTGGATCGCTTGACGTCAGACGCTATGATTGATGCGGATGGCAAACTTTCACCAAATAAATTCCTGATTCTGGGGGTCAGACACTACATAGAGAGTGCGACCCTATATACAAATATATATAATACACATACGCAATCAAGGTAGAAGCAGTCGCCCCCCAAAAGCTTCTTAATTCATGAAAATTGCAAACACTGACAACCACAATAAGTAGAGCTTTTTTGATGAATACGAATCGAGTGCTACAACAACAAGAGCTGATTTAGCTACGGTTTCTGGCGTTGCACGTGTGTGGAGCTCCCATTGAGGCCCCACAGTCCGCAGTCCGCAGTCAGTCAACACGGGCACGTCAAATCGAGATAAACGCGTTTGTAGCTCAAATTCGCAAGTAGCTATAAAGTAAAAAATAACTGAGCGATAGGCAATCGCTGATCGCATACTAATCGCGCACTTGGCCCGAGGGCATGCAAGATGCCATAAATCTTGTTCGGCCGTTATTATAGTGCAGACAGTTGATAGGCCAGAGTGCTGATCGTAGCACTGTCAGTCGTACCTCAGACCACATCGCAACCGTATCGTAACATGTCAAAGACATTCGCGGCCCTCGCCGTCGCCGTGATAAGTGCCTTGTGCCTCTTGCCGGCGGCCACGCATTGTGACACATCCTATTATGAGAAATACTACGCGGCACGTCGTTATGTGCCGCTCAAGCGGAACGCTCTACTGCCCTTCAATTTTACGCTTACACTGCCAACAGGCTTCGGTCTGGCGGCACACGAGCAGCTCGCTTTGGTGGGAAATCTGAAGCAGCTGGGTGGTTGGCGGCCCGATCGTGCTCTGCTCCTCAATCGCACAGACATAGCGCACAATGTCTGGGTGGGTGCCGTCTCGCTGCCGCAGAATAGCAGTGTGGAGTACCGATACTTTGTGACCGCTGTGAGTCGTGGGGGCGCCCTGCAAGTTCGCCGTTGGGAGTCACAGGTGCAGCCTCGCAGTTTCAATACGACACGTTTGGCGGGAAATCGGTCCGACGAGTTCGGGCGCCTCGATGGTGATGGTGATGGTGATGATGAGGGGCAGGTCACTCGAGGTTGGCTGAGCAGCGGTCAGATAGTGCAGTTCAAGCTCTTTCGGCGACCCTTGAAACTAGATGAGGCCACCCCTGGTGGTGGTGAGCTACGTCTCCGTCTGCAGCCTGTGGATCCTGGCACGTTGACACCCATTCTGGCATCCGCACGCGCCAATGTGGAATATGCACGCATGTCCTATGGCGACAGTCAGTTGCGGGAGCAACCGCAGTTCGGTGTGCCATACCAGGACGACGTTATACTCATATACCATGTCCAGCTGGCAGAAATCTCCCAAGTGGCCTATCAACTGCAGCTCTATGCCAGACAACCGGACAGTGATTTGGTGCATCTGCTGGGCTACCATTATGTGCAGCCCACATCTCTGCAGGGCAGTGAGGGCAACATTAATGCCAGCCTTGTCTCCCCCATTTGGCGGCACGTGATTGGCGAGCTGCAGCTCCAATATCTTGTGGTCCATCCCATGATTAATGGCACCGCAGATTTCCGCACCAGCTTTGTAAACTACTGGCGTTCAAGCTGGACGGCTTTGGAAATTGGCCATCGCGGCTTGGGGAAGAGTCTGACAGTGGCCACAAATGCGGCGCCCTTAATTGAGAACACCGTGTCCTCTATGGTGGCTGCGGCAGATCTTGGTGCCGATCTGGTTGAATTCGATGTACAACTGACAAGCGATCTGGTTCCAATTATTCATCACGATTACTCCATACGCGTGTGCATTGATTCCAAAACGCCAACAAATCGTAACGATCTGATCGAGGTCCTGCTCAAGGATATCACCTATGAGCAGCTGAAGAACCTGAAGACCTACCAAATAGTGGGCAACAAAATCATCGAATATCCGGCCCACAACAATGTCGAGCAAGTGGAGCAACGCCTCTTTCCCACGCTGCAGGATTTCTTCGAACGTGTCAATCAGAGTGTGGGCTTCGATATAGAAATCAAGTGGCCACAACAACGGGCAAATGGCGAGTTCGAGAGCGATCAGACTATAGACAAGAATTTATTCGTCGATCGGATATTGGAGGTGGTCCAGCAGCATGGTTGTGGACGCCTAAATATAATCAAGAGCTTCGATGCGGATATATGCACAATGCTTCGCCTCAAGCAGAACATGTACCCAGTCCTCTTCCTCAGCTCCAGCAAGGAGCATGTGTATGCCGATCCGCGGACCGACACTGTGCTGCAGAGCATCAACTTTGCCCAGGCCTTTGATCTGGCCGGGGTTGTGCCCAATGCCGTCTTAATCAAGGCCGATACGTCGCTGGTGCAACGGGCGAAGGCCCAGCTTCCACTAATACTGCTGTGGGGCGCGGATCTCAAGGATCGCGAATCCATTGATTGGTTCAAGGCGCAGGGCGTAACGGGTGTCATCTATGATCGCATGGACGTTTGGCTGCCTTCCAACAAGACAAACGCATTTGAATTGGAATCGGATCTGCCGGAATTCTTTCAGCTGCAGTGCACTCCGGCGTCAAATCAGCGTGTGGTGAACACCACCATTGAAAGCATCCTAAGCAATGTTAACTTTTTGTAGTTTTGTGTTCTTTTCTAAACTTTGTCGTTATACATATACTATGTATGTACGTGTATTTTGCTTGTAGGTATGTCATCAAATAAAATCGCTAGCGAGAGCTCCTTCTACTCTGTTCATCATTTCCTTTTAAGTTTCCTGATTGCTGCGCGTACTCCATTACTTGTCCTTGCTTTGCTCAGCTATTCTTTCGGACAGCTCAACCAAGCTGATTAAAAGTTTCACATAAAAAAGAAATGTCCAAACGTGCCTGAAGGACTTCAATAAAAATTTGATCCTTGGCAAAAGATAATTGGCTTTGAATTCAAATGTGAATTGACAAAGCGGAGACGACTCTTAAATTGTACCACCTTGCTTAATAAACCCTAAATAATAGCCTGGTCCCTATGGAGAAAACCATGCGATTAAATACTTTGCCTTTTAACTTTAAGAATGCAATTCAATTTCCAAATCAGTTTGGCTTTTAAATCATTTATTTAAATGTTTGGCATTTAATTTCTGATAAAGCATTTTACAACTTTCCCAGATAACTGTTTTATTGAAAAAGGTGAAACTTAAATATTCAACACTTCATCGAATATGTTTGTGAGAATATTCTCACACACGTACGGGTGCCATATATTTATTTATTCCATAAAAATAAAACACAAATTTGCAATTCTCATCACCCATTTCGTTTTTTTTTTGCAATGTGAACTTGAAATTTAAATGTTTAATGAAATCATTGCAAGTCAGCAGCTGTGCGGGGTCCCACATGACAGGCCGAACCCAATCCAACCAGAGCCAGAGCAGGGGTTAGCGTCGCTGCAGATGAGTGTGCCGTTTGTGTGTGTGTGTGTGTGATGATGCAAGCGTTGCACATTGAAGCTGCAAAGCTCAGGGGCAATCGTTTAAGCTGCAGCGCCAATTCCCTGCAGCGTTTTGTCGCCGACTGAATACAACAGCAGCCAAGTGAGCGCCGCATTTTGATTTGGGACGCCCAAAGCAGGGCCCAGCTAGTAGTATGTACTCGTATATCCGAGATATCTGTGCAGCATTATGGTAAAATTCATTTATTGCTGTAATTCATATCTCGTGGGCACGTTGTGGGCGTAATTTTTACAATTGGATAATTTATTTTGCATAAACAAATGCGAAATGTAGATTTGTAACTATTTATGGGAAATTAAGAAATATTTATGCCCATACATATGGATGTACAGTTTGTCAAGAACAAGATCAATTAACAAATTTAATAGATACATACTTTATTTAACCAATTTTTCATTTTTTCACGAAAAAATATGAAACCAAAAATCAGAATAAAGTCATCCGAGAAAGCAGCCTTGTATTAAATATCGTACTAAAAAATTTGATATATAGTATTTAAGTCCCTTATAAAACAATATATGCAAATCATTACAGAAAATGAAAGAAAGTTTTTTTAGCAATATATAGTCAAATACTAAAAAGTTTTATTTACTTATATAACATTTTTATTTATTTGTATAACATGTGGGTGTTATATTTTATATTCAAAAAACCCGACTTGAGAAAGAACAATTGAACCAGCCACAATAAACACTTGGTTATAAGTAGATCTTTAATTTAATAATAGGCTAGATTTTACCATTTTTCTGAATTTAATAAGAAGGTAATGAATACGTAAATGTTATTTAATACTATTATTTTACGGCATAATGTCATAATGTCTTTAGAGGACTTTTTGATTTCAAGTAAACAACTGAAAATCTGTAAGGTAAAAATATTTAATAAAGTTATATAATCTGTGTCAATGTGCACATTTTTTGAAAAATTTAAGCGAATTAGGAAACTAAACAAATTAATGAAATTGCAATAATAACAAAAGAAAGAAAGGTCTTCTGCCTCATACATTTTTCACTTTATACAAACCTAATATACTCTTATGCATACATACGTTTCAGGTAAAGGGTAAAGAAATTAAAAATATTTTTCAATATTTTTTTTGAGAAGTAAGTTCATATACGAGTATTTAGGTCCGATCACAAAAAGCTTCGCAGAGGAAAAACAAGGATAGATGCGTTGGGAACTTTTTGTTGACTTCACAAATCCAGGGAAATTAAGAAAAATTAACGTACTTATAGTTGGCATATTTAGATACATATGTACCCTATAAAAGATATAGAATTTCATGGCATTGTGTAATTAACACAATACATTTCTTACAGCGCCAACTGATGGAGGCATACATCCGTCAGAAACGCGCCTCGCCGGGCATGGTCCAAGCGAGTGATCTGCAAATCAGTCGACCCATGTCGGGGATGCGGAGCAACAGCCGTGAATTGCACGCCTACGACGGACCGATGCAGTTCATCAGCTCGCCCCAAAATCCGGATCAAATAATAACCAGCAGCACAGTCGTCTCAATGAGCTCCTCTAACTCGAGTCGTAACAACTCCAACAACATGAGAACACTAAGCACGATCAATCAAGAAGGTATGTTCGATACTCCCATGCGGATTTATTTATTTAGACATTGTGTTTGGCATATGCAGATCTAATTGAGGAAATCTCCTCGCATGAGATGGAGGATGAGGAAAGCAGTCCGGTAACGGCTTTAGAGGCACAGCAAACCACCCACTCAGCGAATTCCCAACGGCAACGAACGCGACAACAATCCTTCAGCGACACCCTGGACGAGGATGACTATGCGAATCGGAATATTGCGGGCGCTGCGCCCGTTAGACCTGCCGGTCTAGCATCTCCATTCAAAGAGCCCATTTTGGATAGTACGAGTGGAGCAACAAATGGCAGTGGCAGCACCGGTGGCAACGAGTCCGAGGGTGATCTCATCGGAAATATTGACCAGTTTGTGATGCAACCGGCGCCGCAGGGTGTGCTCTACAAATGCCGCATTACACGCGATCGCAAGGGTATGGATCGAGGACTCTTTCCAATTTATTACCTGCACCTAGAACGTGACTATGGAAAAAAGATCTTCTTATTAGGCGGTAGGCAAAGGGCAATTCTTTTAATTATTACGAAACTGACTCTGCTTCAATAGGTCGCAAGCGCAAGAAGAGCAAAACATCCAACTATATCATAAGTTGTGACCCCACAGACCTTTCCAGAAATGCGGACGGCTTCTGTGGGAAACTGCGCTCCAATGTGTTCGGCACGTCCTTCACGGTATTCGACAATGGCAACAAGGACAGCACGGAGAGTCCGCGACTCGATCTAGCAGTCGTTATCTACGTGAGTATAGGCGTCCATAAATGAAAGTAGCACAAGTCATCAATTTCCTTTTCATGCATTACATAGGACACCAATATTTTGGGCTTCAAGGGGCCTCGAAACATGACTGTCATATTGCCTGGAATGACCGAAGATGATCAGCGCGTCAAGATCAATTCGGCAGATCCCAAGCAGCAGGGCATATTGGACTTGTGGAAAATGAAGGTAAAGCGGAAATTGGCAGTCTCTTTTGCGCTATATCTCGCTGACACCCCTATCTAATGGCTTTTCAGAACATGGACAACATTGTGGAGTTGCACAACAAAACGCCCGTCTGGAATGATGAGACTCAATCGTACGTGCTCAACTTTCACGGCCGCGTGACACAGGCATCTGTTAAGAATTTTCAACTAGTGCACGATTCGGATCCGGAATACATCGTCATGCAGTTCGGTCGCACCTCCGAGGACGTTTTCACAATGGACTATCGCTATCCCCTGTGCGCCATGCAAGCGTTCGCCATCGCACTCAGCAGTTTTGATGGCAAAATAGCCTGCGAGTAGGCCATGTTTTCAATTGAAGATGCCTTATAACTACTATGTGGATGTACTTGATCTGGAATTATGTGCAGGCGTGTTAGCTGCTACTTACTATTATTTTTAATAAGTATTTAAGAAACAGTCAATTAGTGGTAATTTTGTGTAAACGCTATTTATGTAGGTGTACTATACATTGCAATGCTAAGTCTAATAATCTAGTCAAGACCCTCTGGCCCCAATTACAGTTTCAAGATTCGAAATTTGTATACTCGTACATAAACCGTACTTTCAAACTAAATGCTCACCGATTTTTTACACAAACCAAAGAAATTGACATATTGAAATATATATAGTAGAATCGAGGAAATTTATGAAGGACAAAATCAAAACATCAATTAAATGAGAAATTAGTAATGTATTTTTATGTATAAATGCAAATATGCATATAAATGCCAGTAGCAGCGCCAGAGTTTTTATGCTGATCACTAATTGGGTATAAACAATTAATTAATTTAAAGTGAACAAAATATACTATATATCAAAAAAATGTATTATAATACTTATAGTATGCGTCAAGTTAAGTTCGCAAACAGAAATCAACGCAAAGATTATGTATATTTATCAAAATATACATACTATACATGCAGTATGTATTTGAATTAATGTGACACAAATAAATCAAATCAAAATTTATGTACATTAAATAAAATATATTTTTGAATTGGAAACGGGCTTTTATAACGACAAAGTAAAATCACTCGAATGGGACTGAATATGAATATCAATTAAGGTAGGACTCAGAACAGACATAAAGGAATACATACATCTCTACAAATCCATTTTAAACAAGCATTACGAGTCCCATTTATAAATTTGATCGAATTTCAGTAAAAATCCAAAGAATTACGGTAGTTATAAAGTGGGTAGGTACATCAAAAAAAAAAAAGATAAGATCGTCCTTTCTCGGATCTAGAAATATCTGAAAACGAAGTTTGGCTATTCTAGGTCTTATGCTATCTAAGATCTTAGTGCTCATACGGACAGGCGGGCATGGCTATATCGCCTCTTCGTGTCAAACTGCTCAAGAATAGATATACTTTTGGGGTCTGCTACGCATCCTTTTGTACAGGGTATAAAAAGCCCATCTCTTATAGTTAAGTACAATCTGATTTATTCAATAGGTACGTATAATTAAGTACAATTTATTTGTATTTACATGAAAATGCATATAGTTAGTGCACAATTCCATAAATAAAACCAATTATAATTATCTTAGCATGTACAAATAGTTTGAATTGCTGGATTTTTCTTCTCTTTCGAAAATGAAGCCTTATAAACACAATTGATGTGCGGGCAGTATTAGTTAAATAAGGCTTAGTTTACTAAGAAATCAACCTTTAAAGTATTTACAATATGTTAAAATGTTGGCATTTTGTAATTGCGTTTTTTCATTTGTTCACGTCCAGACAATTCAACGTGCACATTTGTTGGAATGAATATTGAGAAATCACAGAGTTCATGAAAATACATTTGCTAAGCATTGATCTAAACATTCCCCAAAAATTGTGAAGAAATGGAGTTATATATCGAAGGAAGACGATCAATCTTTTTGCCTTTTACAGCAATTACCAATAGAACTTGCAACGAATCGCGTTTCCTTCATGATAAATAGAATTCAATTGTTAAGAGTGCGTGCGAGCATCTATCGGCAACTTAAACTCCTTTGAGTTATAGTCCTCATAGGCAAGTTGACGCTCGGGCGACGTTTCAGGTAGTTTATCGATTTTCTGCAAACGTGCGAGCACAATCTGCAGATGTCGCCCAATGTAATCCTCGCCAGGAGCCAGTCGATGTGCATATTGGAGACAAGCAGCTGCCTTCGCCAGACGCTTGCGTTCCACAAAAACAACGCACAAATTGTGCAAGCCCTGCGTGTTGTGCGGCTCATGTCGGAGGATGCTGCGATAACACGTCTCAGCGGCATCCAGATCCTTGATGTGGTTTATGTAAATGTCACCGAGCAGTATGAGGCCCTTCACGTGAGTGGGATGATGACGAATGAGTTGATTAAGATACGGCACAGCGTCCAGCGGCCGCTGAGTATCGGCCAGTAGCAGCGCCAGGTTAAATAATGCACTGCGAAAGTCTGATTTGAGATGAATGGCGCGCTTAAAGAACTGCTCAGCCTCATCGAAGCTCGACTCATCCATGGCTAGCATACCCAGGTTGAAGTAAACCTTTTCGTTGTGGGCATCCTTGGCCAAGACGCGATAAAGACGGGAACGGGACAGCTGCCGTGCCTCCGCACCGCCCAGTTCCTGCAGCAGAATGGCCGAATTAAGCAGAGCCTGCTCATGTTCCGGATACAGCTCGAGCGCCTTATCAAAATACACATTCGCCTGCTGGCTCTTTCCCTGCTCCAGAAACACCACACCTAGATTGTAGTAAATGTCCGCATTTTCGCTGTCGTACAGCAGAGCCTGCTCGTAAACCTCCTGGGCCTGTGCTGTGCGATTCAGCTTCATCAGAATATCGCCGCGATTAATGTAAGCCTGCACGTAATCGGCTCGCATGCTTATCGCCTGCCGATACAAATGGTCAGCCTCCTCTAGGCGCGTCTGATTCTTTGCTATCAGGTTGGCCAAATTAATGAAGACATTCAGATGATTGGGCGCTATACGCGCATGATAACTAACGCCGGGCTTAGCCTGCGGGAAAAGTGCCTTAGCACGCAAATAAGCCTGCTCCGCCTCAGCATAGCGTTTCAGATTGTTGTAGGTGCGGCCCACATTGATGTGTGCGCCAATATCATCCTCTTGAATGCGTACCGCCTGCTCGAAGTACAGCAAGGCCTCCTCGTAGCGAGCCTCGTTCTCCAGCGCATGCCCCACATTGTTGTACAGCTTGGCATTCCGATTATTTACGTGCACACCAGACATGAACAACGTATACTCATTCCGCCAGTCGTAATTGCGCAGGTGCGTCTTCAGTCCATGCACCAGCAGCAGGCAAATGAGAGCCAGCTGCGATACGCGCCGCCATCGCCAGCGTTGCAACAACTGCGTATGGCCATAAGCAACGAGTAGGCTGTATCCCATAGACGGCATGTAAAGAATGCGTTCGGCCACCACAAAGCCGACAGGAAAGAAGAGATTCGATGCGGGCAGAAAAGGCAACACCAACCAAGCGAGGCCCATCAGCAAAATGCGCGACTGCGTCAAATTGCGCGTAAGAAAGGCTTGGGCTGCCAATCCTAGCAAGCACGCGAATGTGGCTAGTGTGGCCAGATTACGTACATCGGTGAAACCTTCTATTAAAGGGACGGTGCCTGAAAGAAATGATAATTGTAAATCAATTAATTGTAATTGATTAATGAGGATGTTTCTTATAATATAGTGCTAAAAGCTTACCCATTGTCCAATCACAGCATAAATTCGACGGAAACAATAACAACAAGGAGTTCAAGTAGATGAGGTAGCTGTAAGTAAGTTGCCGTACAGGTGTGTCCGCAGCCGAGGCCGGATTATCAAATCGTGTGAAGATGGGCAATTGGGCGCCCATCACGTAGACCCGGCCCACCAATAGAGCGACAGTGATGGCAGCCAGAAAGGCCAAGCGTTTAAGCAGAGCCGACGACCAGCGACGTCCGGCGCTTGAAGGTGACGTGGGCTTGGGTACGTGCTGTTCCTCGAACAATCGCAGCACATAATGCCACAGATGTATGGGGCGCAATTGTTGCACGACAAACAATTCGTAGGCCAAGCAAATACCCGCAATAGTTATGCCTTGCTCCTTGCACAGCATAGAAGCCAGCAGGCAACTGCCAAAGCAAATGCATAAGGACAGCCAGTTAGTGGGAGCTTCTGTGCGGCAGCGACGCGACAACGACGAAGTGCTCACTGCCTGAGCGTACGAGAGAAACGCGGCCAGATAGCAGATGGAAGAGAGCAATTCAGCACGCCCGACGACGCTAGTAACAGCGTCGGTATGCACAGGATGCACGGCAAAGAGCAGCGTGGCAACAAAAGCGCATGTGTTGAGTGCCGACGATGACGTAGCGTTACTGTGCCCTGCACATTGGTGCAACAGAAACCGGCACACGCGACGCCACAGCACGCAAACGGCAACGTGCAGCACAACATTGACGGCATGATATCCGAATGGCTCCAACGCATGCAGCAAGTAGTTGAAACGGAACGTGAGCACCGTGAGCGGACGGTACGACTTGTGGGACTGCTCTTTACGCATTGGTGTACCCCAGAAGTCGTTCAGGAATACATTGCGCAACGGCGTGCTCGGTCGCAGGTCCTTGTTATCGCGTATGGCGCTTATATCGTCAAATACCAGTCCGCATTGGGTGCTGTTATAATAGCAGGCTATGCAAGCAATGCAAACGCACAGGAACTCAAGTAAATTGCGCTGCGAACTGCTGCCTCGACTACTGCATAATGGTGTGATTATTCTGTGTGTGTGTTGTTGTTGTTGTTGTTGATGTTGCTGCGTTATGAGTGGGTGTGCATGTGCGTATTCCTGCTGTGGGTTGGGGTTCGTTGACATGTTGCTGACTCTTAAATTACTGCCTGGCGTTACTTTATATACTTCTATATATATGCATTCCAGTCAAGCCGTTGCTGCACCTCATGTATCCATAATTACTTTACGGTGGAATGTTGTACATATGTATGGTTGACGAGTTAATCGGGGGAGATTCTACATTTTCTGAAAAGGATTAAGTGAAGTTAGTAATAGTAGTTGTATAAATATTCATAGAAGAAAGAGGGTCTCAAACAAAAAAGTTTCAAATACATTTCGGTATATACATAATTTATTTTTGGATTCTAAAATACCTTTAAATATAAATAACACCAGTAGTCACTTAAACGTGTCTCTAAAACATATGTACGTATGTATACAATATTATGTATGTATGTACATACTTCTTTAAGCAAATATATGTATGTATATTTACTACAGCAGTAATACTGAAAGTATTTTCTTAACTTAACACAAGCTTTGCATTCATGCTTTTGTTCAACTTTGGTTTGTCATTTGTTAAAAGTTTCAAACTTTTTACTTTTAGGCGTTTTGCAGTAATACAGAAAAACTGCACCCAGGGCCCGGAAAAAATCAATTAATGCGCAACAAAGTAACTTCGTCCCGGTTACTGTCCTCGATACCGACTGCACATACACGAAGTTAACAAAGTAGTGAAGGACACTCTGCCGCACTGACTGCGACAGCGGCAGCAGCAGCAGCAGCGGCAACTCCAGAACCAACAACCGGCATATGCTGGATGGAGAGAACATTGGGAAAAGTTTCGGAGCAAACGTGTGTTTGCTTGTTATTGCAATTATTATGAAATCAAGCAAAGGAGACATTTACTAGGCGCGGCTGCATTGCATCGGCCGGACGAAGAGATAAAAACAGAGCAACTATGTTGTGCTCAATGTCATCGATTCTACGAACACAGTCAAAACAAATTCCAACCAACACGGAGTCGGAGTCATAAAAAGAGCGTCGGGACCAGCTGAGCGCAACTTTGTTGCACGACCGAGTTTTGAGCGACCACGAAGGGCAACGAAGTCAACACACGCACCAGTGTATTTGGAACGCTTGTTGATTTCCCGCCATTTATCGCGCAGGCGCCTAGTGGGACGCCAAAGAAATCCTTGCACTTTCGTTTCGAGGGAGACGAGGCCGGCACGCTCTCACGCAACTCTCCACTGCCACCACTCTTCACAAATTAATGGTGTTTGTGTTTTTGTAAAATTACTTTGACCGAGATATACGCCAATCCTTGTATATGGACGCTATCGCCGACGAACGCCACATGTCGTCGCTTTGTTGGGCCCGCCGATGAGCTTCAACATATCCGACACCGTCACCGCCCCAGCCACATACCCCTGATGTTGATGACGAATTCATGCCACTACATTACAGCCAAATGCCAAGGTAAAACCAACTTGACAAATACATTGTTGCCATTTCTAGTTTGTTGTATTATTATACTGTTGCAGCAGTTTATTATAGCCCACTTACTGTATTTACGAACTATTTTATACACAATTCCTTAGGGAGTTTACATTTCAACACATTGTAATACAAAACGTTTTCTTCTTCTTTTGGCTTCTGGGATTGCTATTCAATGGGCACGCAAACACCATCAAATCCATCGACTATCGAATAACAGTGAGTGCAAATCGATTGCCATTGACGATATTTGCTGCAGCCCTACCTTTTCTGGCTGCCGCATCTCAGGTAGGACAGATGCCATTTTTTGGTGAAGCGTTTACCTAAATAAAAAGAAAGAAATTAGATTTAATTCCAGCTTATAAATATAATGTCAACTGAGGATTTCTATTTGCGCTACTATGTGGGTCACAAGGGAAAGTTCGGCCACGAGTTTCTCGAATTCGAGTTCCGCCCGGACGGCAAATTGCGGTATGCAAACAATTCCAACTACAAAAACGACACCATGATCCGTAAGGAGGCGTTTGTACACCAATCGGTGATGGAGGAGCTAAAGCGCATTATAATTGACTCGGAAATAATGCAGGAAGACGACTGTCCTTGGCCGCCTCCAGATCGCGTTGGGCGCCAGGTAAATGTGTATAACGATTTCTGTGTATTGAGAAATTACATTCGTTTTGTATTGTATTTTTACGCAGGAATTGGAAATTGTCATTGGCGACGAACATATATCGTTTACTACCTCTAAGACCGGCTCCTTGGTGGATGTGAATAGGTCAAAAGATCCGGAAGGACTACGTTGCTTTTATTACCTGGTGCAGGATCTCAAGTGCTTAGTATTTTCACTTATCGGCTTGCATTTCAAAATTAAGCCCATTTAATAAAACAAAAGGCATTGACACCAATTAAGAATAAATCAACTCGCTGATTTTCCAAGTTTTTTATATTTAGATTTTAATAATTTGAATGTAAATAAACATATTCAATTTAAGTACTTTACATTTGTACAATCATTTAAATAATGGTATAAAACACCTTTATTCTACTTAACGCTACACGATTAATGGATTACCTTATGCGTATATGTATGTTAGTAAAACATATGTATATATACTTAAGTTTATGGGGTTAAAAACTGGTGGTGCGGGCAACAATTATGGAGAGATTCGGCGTTGTGAAACCTTTTATTTGAGATTTGCAGTGTAAAACTTTATATAGGCGCTTAATAATTCAGTCTTTGGGGTTACTTAGTAAAGTATAAAAAAACAAATATGACATAAACGGCAGAATATGCTAAAATACAATTTAAGAACAAGGAGCTGCGCTAAAGAAAGCTCTTGTAGAGCCTAATACGTAGGTCTCAAAGTCATAATTGCGGTTGCTGGTGCAGAGATAATGTGGTCATGCTGGTGCCGGGCCGTTCTATGTAGCCACCAATCATGTCCAGTTGCTGTGGTTGGTGGTGGTGCTGTTGTTGTTGTTGTTGTTGGGGTGGCAGCTGCGATTGCGCACTTTTCAGTAAACTAGGTGAGGCCTGTAGAGGTGTATTACTGCCTAGGCCGCTGTTACCACTGGGGCTGGGGCCCTCCTTAATGGGACAACCGATGGTGAGACGCACATGCAGACCAGATTCCTTGATGAGATTTACAACATCGCCATGCGACATGCCGGCTATATCTATGCGATTGACAGCAATAATCCGATCGCCCACCTTCAACTCTCCGCAACGATCAGCAGGACTGGCGGGTATCAGTTTACCTGAAACATAGAAAACGTATTAGATAAGAGTATGAAAGTTTCATCTGTGTATCCTGCTTACCTATTGTGGAGCCGTAGTAATGATTAGATGAGGAGATGATGACGAATCCAAAGCCCTCATTCTCGTGCCGACTGACGATGACATCGTAGGGATAACGTCGCAGCTGAGTCAATGTTGCATGTTGCTGCGTACGACGCCTTCGCAATATCATAGTGACCTGGCCACGCAACGCAGACTCTCCCACAAGTGACACAACCTTATGGTGCGAAGAATTCAGCTGCAAGAGTAGGCGAATGAGAAACCTGGATAAAGTAAAAGTATACATTGACTTACCACATTGATGCCGTCAATGCTTAAAATTTCATCGCCTGTGGCTATGCGCTGATCTTGATCGGCCGCGCCGCCGGGCACAATGTGGCCTACCGTTACCTGCGACCCTTCCTCAGTGCCACCAACAATGCGAAAACCAAAGCCCAGAGCTTGCCGCTCCAATGTTACTTCGGTCAGTTCGCACTGATCAGCATCTTCTGAAGCATCCAACAGGGCCCCATTGCGTGTGCCACCCGCCAGCCAAGAAGTTGCCGCTGGTGAATGCTGATGTGGGAGCTGCTGATGGTGGTGCTGGTGGTCTTGTTGTGGCTGTTGGTGTTGATGGAGCGGAGGATCGAGGTTGGCGAAGCCCACACGTCGGCGATCGCTGAGCAACTCATTGACGCGTCGCTGCATCCTCTCGTTCTGAATGTGTGCAGCCTGAAGCGGGGAATATTGGGCAGTGCTGGCAGAGGAGGGAAGAGGCTGCGGTGCAAAGTAACCGAGTGGTGAAACGTGCTGTGGTCGAAACTTCAGGTTCTGGCAATCGTAACAATAACAGGAATCATGATGATGTTGAGTCTGTCCGTAGACAGCTCCTGTATTGGCTGTGCTATTGGGTGTCATAAGACCTAAGGGTGTGGTCAGTGGTCCATACAAATGCGTCGGTGCTGGCGCACCAGTGGTCGCAGCAGCATTCTGTGGTAATGGCTGCATGCTGGGGGGCAACGCAGTGAGGCCATAGATGGGATTGTAATTGGGACTAACATACTGCTCCTGGGACGTAAAGTGTGTTGGCGCCGTACTATAACCATTGTTGTCGCTTTGGAGAGACGCCTCGGCTAGACGTTCGCTCAGACGGCTGACCATTTTGGGATACGGATCCATAAAGGGTATTTCGTCGAGCTCTTGCAGACTATTATTTGACTTTCCGTCCACATGCGTTTTGCTTTCAGCGAGTGTAGCTAACGGCCCATCCGTCTCAAGCAGCTCGTTAGGCGTCTGAACACGGGCGCGCCGTGTGTCCACCAGCGGAGTTTTTGGCCGCATCGGCAACACCTCCTTGGGCTGCGTACTGTACAAATCCGCCGTTGGCGTCTTGCTGCGAAACAAACCACCGCCCGTAGTCGCCGTACCACCAACAAAGTTTTTTCTTAGCTTCGCCACATTGCCGAAACTGTTGCCACCGTTTCCAGATTGGGACTGACTGACAACTGGCACCTCTTCATTTGGCACGCGCTGTATCTTAACTGTCGTGGGCGCTGTCTTGCTGCATTCCTTGAGCACCTCTACCACATAGACATGGGATTTGTTGCGCACATTGATGTCGTTTATTTCGAGCAGCACATCGCCCTCCTGCAGCTGTGTGCAGCAATTCCTATCCAGTATTTTTTTCACCTTCTGACCACAGGCAGAATCGGCAATTGTGAAACCGAAACCCATAGTTCCCTTAATAATGCTGAATGTGTGTATCTCTGGTTTTTTCATTAGAATAAATCCACTGCCCGCCCCTTTACTGGTGCCATCTCCAGACAAATCTAGAAAGTTGTAGTTGCCGTCCATGTTGAGATCCATGATCATTCGGCGCTGCTTCTCCGACTCACTGGTTATCCCGTCGACGGCAATGGTCGTTACCACCTCCGTATTTGGATCGTTGGGATCAAAAGGAAGCGGATAGCCACGACACACCTCCAAGGTTGCTGTCTCGCCGGGCAGTATTGACTGAAAGATGCTAACCATGTCGTGATGCGTGAAGCCCAGCACGCAGGTGTCATTTACATAAACGAGCACATCGCCAGTTTGCAACTGTCCGTCCAACCAGGCGGGTCCATTGGGTACCACTGTCTTGATTTGCAAAAACTCCTCTACACCGCCGTCGTTGGGGTTGCTGCCGCCATCGCCACCCACTATGGTAATGCCTAAGCCGCGTGCTGACTTTAACAACGTGGTGCTAATGCGCTGACCCTGCAGCTCCGCGGGATTGCGCGTAAATTTATATGGAAGCAATGTCTTGGGAGTCGCTTCGGTCGCCGCATCCAAGGCTGCCACTGGATCCTGCACCAGCTGTGTTGTTGTCGGCGTTTTAGCACGTTGCTGTTGCAGCTGTTGGTCCTGCTGCTCCTGCTGTTGTAGGAGTTGGCGCTGCTCTGCGGCACGGCGCTTTGCTTCCAGCACTGGATTCTCGTATTGAGTGCGTCGATTCACATGGTCTATAAAATATGTACCATAGAGGGAATCCTCGATCTTCTCCCAGCCATATGGCAGCTCATCCTCGCAACAATCTTCAAGCGATTTCTTCTGATATTTCGATAGACGCGGATCAAGCCAATGGGATGTGCCAGTATTGTGACTGTAATTAATATAATTAACTAATCAGCTACATCTCTATAAAATTTATTTATCAAGGACTTACTCAATGAAATACAGTTCCCCACGCTCAGTATAGGCAGTTTCCCATTTGGGGGGAAGTGGACCCAAGCCATCTCCGGGATCCTCGTGGCTGGCCGTAGCATGACTATGGTTGTGGTTATCCATACCTCCGCACTCGCTGCCCAGACTGCTTTCACCACCCTCACCATTGTAGTAAGTGTTTTGAAGAAGATTTTCTGCAAAGGAAGGCAAAGCATAAGTTAAAGGAATCGAACAGAATTGGGATCCTATTATTATCTCCTAAACCAAATGAGCATAGTAAGAATAAATATAAAAAGTAGTTCAAACCGTTCAAACCAAGCTCTCTTGGTATTTTTTTATTTTTTTTAGTCACAATCACACATTGGACCGTTGACAATACTCTGTTTCAATTGCTTAAGAGACACGTTTTTGGATAGATTCTCATTCCTTTAATTTACCACCACTTTGTGATTAAAAATGAGCCATGAAAGGATTGACAGCGAAATAATGGATGGTGGGAATAAAGATTCTTAAAATAAAAGGATCAGTATTTGAGAAACTTGTTACAAAATAATGTAATAGTTGTAAGAGAATCTCGTTTTAAAATAGACCCCAAAGGGTGTTTCATAAGTAGACGTTCTTATAATAATATAATTAAAATGTTCAAGTAAGATAAGGAAAATATAGCTTCAAAAAACCAATGAAGATGAAAGGCTCAAACGTTCAACAGGTCTTGGTTAGTGTACTTTAACTTTTGAAAACAAAAGCGCCCACTCAATCCAATAGATCCACCACAGGTGCGCATTTTGAAAACGCGCCCCATAGCTCTCAATCGAAATTGTGCAACCAGGCGCGAATAGTTTAAGGGAATCGTTGGAACACTTCAACATTGAACTACACTATAGTGGCTTATTGGACTAATGTTTGTAGCTGCCAATGTCCATTGCCTCCGTATTCACACTCGCCCTGTTGAATGAAGCGTAAACTGTTTGGACATGGTACATAACAACAACAACAACAACAACAATGTTGATGACAACATATTATTAGCACTAAGGTGACTGGCTTAGTTGGGCTAATGACCCACTTTTACCACAGACTGAAGCCGTAGATGGATGCTGACTAGCTGACATGAGTCGCAAATTCTTTTGTTAAATGAACGCTGCCGACAGATGACAGGTGGGCTAATTTTTTTTTTTTTAGATGCTGCAAGTGTAAATGCCTCTTGTAGTTATTACTCGATTGTGGGTTGGCTGATAAACCTCTGGAAATAATACCAGCAATTTGAAAACGCATTCAGTTTCCATGAGTAATGGTGAAATTTGTTTGTGGCCTTGGAATGTGCAAACGCTGCAGAAGAGAAAACATTCAGTCAGAGATTCCTATTTAAGATTGTAATCAATATGGAAACGAGCCTAAACAATTATACAAATATATGTGCCTAAACTATCAATTTTCTTAAAGATAAAACCGAACAAATATTCCCATTTGTTTATATTCAACCTTATCTCAAGAGTACAATTTTATACGCAAAAGAGGACGATTTCAATATTCAGTGAAAAGAAAACTTTTTATAAGCTAAGTAGACTGGAAGACATAAGAACGAATATAGATTGAAGCAGATATTGAAAGTAGATGGACTAAAAGCCAGATGAAGTCTAGCTTAATTGGACTTGATTACTAATTACTTGTTTTTAAGATGCACCAGACATAAACCTCTTTATCCATTTCCGATTTAATAATTTTATTAAAGTTATCCTATTTAATTCCAATACTGAATACAATTTGGAAATATTTACTTAATATATAAATAATAAATAAAAATAATTCATATTCTTCACTTATGGCATATTGTAGATATTTTCTTGCGCAGTAGTGTATCTTTTTAGACATTTTCAACAGATTTAGCCTTTATTTACTCGATTAATCAATGCAAGATCAGTGTTTACTCATGGCTCAGTGAACTCCGTAGAATTCATTCAATTCCAGAAGTGGTTTTTATATTAATGCTAAATTACTTGCAAATCGAAAACTCATTAAAAGAAATACAAAAGGAAACCAGTTCCTAATGCAAATGAGAACAAATCAGCAAACGGTGCGGACATCGTTAGCCCCTTTCGAGGCACACGCCCCACATAGACACATAGACTAACAGATAGTCAGATAGTCAGTCTACGAGTATACTCGTATGTAAATTTAGAAAAGCCATCAGCAGTTGTGCGAACATCGCTGAGCAATCGAATGGAGGAAAAACCCACCAGGGCAGGTATTAAAAAAATACAAGTATGTTGCAAACAAACAAACCCATTTACATACATACTCGTATATAGGAAGATGAATATTTATAAAAAGCACTTGGCATGGTGTGGCAGCCACAGTCGCAACTGCAACACAAGAGGCTGAACGGAACATTATCAATAGAGCGACGAGGTTGACTACGATGGGCCCCAGCTAGCAAATATCTGGGTTAGGTAACTAAACGGTAAATGCATATGCGACACGTTAGATTCCACTTGCCGTTCTGATGCCAAAGCGAATGCAAATCGGACACAGAGCTCTGAACCAGGCACACTGCCTCATCAATGGCTGCCTGACTGCATATAGACGCGCCCGAGACAACCAACCCATTTGGGGCTCCAATGAATAAATCCCCCCATACACACATTCACAGATCAAAAGAGAGGGAGAGGCGCAACGGCGGTGGGTAAATGTTTTGAGTGCAACTCCATATGCCGCCCCATAATCCAAAGAGTGTGAAGGAGAACAGGCGCCCCACCCGGCCAAGCCCGGCACGGAAATTGCTGCTGGCGTTGCGTTTTTGTGCGAAGCTGTGGCACAGTTTGATGGTCTTAATGGTTCCCTTTTGCCCCGCCGGTATCACTCGTGTGGATGTGTGTGTTGTGTAAATATTTGTGGAAGCGAGAGAGCAGAAGGTATTTGATTGCCAGATGTGGCATTAGCCCGGCTATTTAACACACAGCTGCACTTTGCTGGACCGTTTTCAGTGCTCGATTCGTAGACAAAATTTCAATTTCAATTACATCGTCCATTTTGTTGAAGGTCAATCATTTTAGGCCAATCTTGGAAAGTATTTACTGCGAAATAATATTTACAGCCAAAGCGAATTCATTGCGACGGGGCTGAGCTTTTGGCTGCCTTTGTAGCACTCTGTATCTTTACGATACACACAGCTACTTTATCTTAATGTTTGCTTGAAGTACATATATCTAACAGATAGCGCAGATAGGCAAGAACTACAACCTTGAGATAATATGGCAGCGACTTCAACAAATTAAAAAGCATAGATACCGTTATTATTCAAAATAGTTGAGCAAACGGTTGCAAATTGTCAAAAGTGCAAAAAACAAAATAATATGTGATCAGACAGGCAAAAAGTTTTTTAATTTCAAAAATATATCGTAATTCTTTTGTAATTCCTATCAAAAGAAATATTATTAAAACAGACAAAAGAGAGTACCTTCTTCGGATTTTTTTAAAACTTACTTTCCTGTGGCTCGTAAATTAAATCAGCGTCATAAGTATAGCTACCGAGTTATTTTAAAAGGAAAACAGGCAAAAAAAAAACTGAATGGTACGAATTATGACTTAATATTTCCTGTTTGCCGCTCTATTCTTTTTCTTCAAATAGTGTATTCCTACATCACTTTCTAAATTTAAATTTATTTCGCTTCGCTTTGTCAGCAATAGCAGCAAACTTGATGTTTGCAATATAAAAGGCGGATCCGACATATGAAATGAGAAAGTGATTAAAATAAATTGTATGTGTGTGTGTGTGTGTGATTGTTTCCTCAGCTAAATACAAGCTTTCTAGGTCGTGCTTTAAAATTAAGCAAAAAGAAAGACGAAAATCAAATCGACTTACACGGGCAATTAGGTGATAACAATATTACCAACAAAAAACACAAAATCTTGGGCCACGCTCCGTAACAAGTTCAAGCTAAACGACGCTTTTTGGCCCCGTCCCTACCAAAACATGGGGGCCGCGACATGGAAATTGTGCGACGCGTGCGTAACACGCATTTCGTGACGCCCAATTGTGGCCTTTAACCGTGAGTAAAAACTTATACTATAAGCAAGCAAATGTGAATGCCTGCTTTTAGTTTGTTTTCATTTTGGAGTTCAATGAACCGATTTCCATGGTATTTTTATTTAATTCAACATACTCGTACTACACTGCGGTTGCTGTGCTCGCTTCAATTGCATTGTTATCGATGAGTCCCCCAGCTGCCCCAAATAGTAATACACAGATGGTCCGCATGTTTACTGCAACAAGCGAGGCCTATTTTTAGCCATGCAACACGAAAACTAGCAAAGCACCGAAAGCTTTCTTGATTATCCATTCATCCCGGTATTTTTTCGACACAAATGATGGTGTTAAGATGGATCGACTCGATATCGAGATAGATTTTAAAACCCCTGTTAGTAATTCCATAACATAAAAACAAAAAGAAGCCATTAAAAATTCTTGTATTAATAAGATCATCACTTCCAAAGGACAACAGCTTCTAATTACAAAGATGTTGGATATGTATTTTGAACACAAACTTTTCATTCATTAAAAATGGAACGGAAAAGGCACTGCGTTCTTTGTTCCGGTATTTTTGTGCTTCCTGCAAGTACAAGCTACTCGTAGCTCTACTTTTCATATAAAGGAAATAAGAAAGAAACTTTCTTTGATTCTAATTGGCGAAATTAATGCGTACTGTTATCATCTTTACATAAATATTGCACATATACCAAGACGAGGAAAAATAGATAATTGCTGCAACATGCAACATTATTTAACCAAATAACAACAAAAGAACGACCAGAGTCTATGAAATATCATTACTCTTCGTATAATTTTATACCCTTATCCGAAGGGTAAAAAGGGTATACTAGGTGTATGCAAAGTATGTAACAGGGTGAGGAGACGAATCGATATAACCTTGTCTGACTCAGCCCACACTGACCAAACTTGGTATGTAGAATCTTCTCATCCGCAACACGAGTTTATTTTAATTTTTCACTGCCTTCCCTGCTTCAAAATTATAACAAATATAAATATTCATATAAATGTCCGCATTTCCAAAGCTACATTGACCAAACTTTGTATACGTTATCAATATATAGTTCTCTTCTCGGCTGTTGCAGTCTTCATGGCTTTTTGTTTAACCTTCTAATCTATTAACCCAGTAACCAATACTGTACTTGA